TTCATTTTTATGTTGTAGTTCAGCCTCTGGCCACTAGTTGGCAGCAGTGAGCCAACCATTTGGCTCATCTACCTCAAGAGGAGTTAAGTGTTGGGTGACCATATTGTAAATTAATATTAAAAACTACAAACTGCGAAAATATATTTTCAAACTATTTATTGTCAAATTTAGTCTACTAATTGAAAATATGGATGAAATAAGAAATATGAAACAAACAAAATAAAATACATACTAAGCAGAACACAGCTAAACGAATCAAAAGTATGTCTATGCAATATTAGAATTTTCTGACAATGAATTTTGGTTTTTCATTTTTTTCCCCAGTAAGAGGTTTTTATTTGATAGAATTTTTGGACAAAAAAATCACAATATATCGCAATATATCGCCTTGCTTACATTATCGCAATATATCGGGATATATCGAGGATATATCGTGACCCCTCTGTCATGATATGTATCGTATCACCAAATTCTTGCCAATACACAGCCCTAATGTTGACAGAGTTATAGCTGGGTTTCGTTTGGTGAATCTTGAAAATAATGTGATGATAATGTGTACTCTGTTAACCCTTGGAGAGTGCATTAGGGATGACTCTCAACTACATCAAAATTTAGCTCAGTATTTGTAAAACTAATGGCTATTTTTGTGTTTGCTGATGTCAGTTAGCTGCCTCACAAACAAACACACAGAGAGGCAGAAACACTCTGGCTTGGCCTGACGTTCGGCACTGAGCAATAATGAATACCAGAAGTACAACTCTGTGAGTTCCTGAAATAAGAACAGTCACTACAGCTTAAATAACAGTTTGATGTCTTACCCCATCCGATGGCCAGGTAAATGTAGAAATATTTCTTCTCGCTGAAAACAGTGATGACCAGGAGGCTATGCAGGTAGATGCCTTCCACCAGCAGCCAGTAGTTGTTGGCCATCACGCTGTACTGCATCATCACCACGGCACCACGGCACCAAATCACAGCCTGACACACACCAGGACATACATGGAGGTGGAATAAAAGCATAAGATTAACCAAGATACACTATTTCATGACAACACGACATGAAGGCAAATGGAAAATTATTATTGTCTGCCTGGCTCTAAACATTCTCTTCTGTTCCCAAGACAACTGATTACAGAATTTGGCTCTCCCCTACATGGCCTTGGGCTGTTGGACTAAATTCTTCCTGGATGGTTACGTCGACTGAGGGTCTGCTGTTTTCTGATTGGCTACATGTCACATTCAAAAGGCTGTGAGCTCATTGCTCCTTGGGGAACACCACACGCTGTGATTTCAGGCCAAAAAAATAAAACATGTTGAATATATTTGAGGTCAGAGAGGTCTTGACATCCTTCCGATCTGACTAGATCACTCTTAACTCACCACCCACGACATGAATATTTGCTAAGATTATCTTTTGAGCCATCACGACAATCTGGATGTCTTTAAGATTGTCGGAAGGGCAAACTTTGGCCAGAATTCGGCACCATTATCCTGCTGTGTGACGCAGGCTTAAGCTGCTGAACAGATGTGTGTGCTCTCACAGGGATGTTGACCCAGGCTTGTGTCTGAGCATCACTGCTGCTCCTTGGATCCAATGTGAGGGTGAGGAGTGCATCTTTGACCAGGATGGACACTGCTCTCAGAATGAAGGAAGCAAACAGATTCATGTGGATGTTGTTCCTCATGCAGTGCAGCTTCCTAAAGTACAAATATAAAAGAAAAAGACAGATCATATTCTGGACCTCTATTTCTCCATCACTTTTCTCTTTCTGAATCTTATTATCTAATTTTTTCGTTATTCAGCTTTACAAAAGTGCTTATGTCTTTCTTTTGACTTCCCCAGTAATGTTTTGTTT